ATGATCTTTCCTGGAGAACTCCACATTTTTCAAATGAGCATGAAATATTTGTTAGTTGATAATTCGCAAACCATGTTCTGTAAATAATTTGAACTATTAATAGTACAAGAATCATTGGATTTAAACGTCAGCATTATGCTTTGAATCTACTGACATAGAAAGCATCAAGATTGTCATACTCGTATGTTACTGATCCTTATCACATCAAAGTCTTTTCTTTATTATGAGGTATAAGATAGTGTAAAATTTAACGTTTCTAAATACCTCCGAATATTTTATAAACAAACATTTGAGGCGTTACCGTACGTATTTTTATACTACTATTCTTACATTTTGATCTCAATGTGCATTGCGCCATAAGGCTGACAGTTAATTCGAGCGCATTAATCAGTTTTTAAGAGACTGAGTGAATCGATACAGTTGTATTTTATATCAAATGTAAGAGCCATAGCATAGGCGTCCAAGTGTGCTTTTATTATATAGCATGCACGGTAGGGTATGAAACATCGTACGAATTTTGAGGCATATTGTATAATACTATTCCTTATTCTGCTAAACATAATATATAATCACGCTTAAAATATGCGCTCAAATCAACGTATTTTATTGATTTGTTGAAGAATGCTAACTGATCGTGGAGATGTTATAACTTTAATTTTGATGCTTGGTAAAGACTTTGCGCTAAATATCTACATGATATATTTAACTATACAACTGAAGAGTTATCTGGCTACGCAGATTGACTTAATATTAGTATATTTAATATTCTTTATCTGCAAATATTTAGAACAATTTGACTTTCGCTTACACCACTACCAAATTGTTTTACATATATAGAAATTATGCTATAACTAAACATACTAATTTGTTGTAAAAATTTCTAGACCGCAAGATTAATACATTGAGCGGATGTTTTCATTACATGTTAATATATAAAATTCGTGATCCAATATGGTATACTATGTTGTGCTTGTCCATTGGTAGAGGTTATTCGTATCTCTTGCAACATATTTCAATTAAACTGGAATTTAAAGCTAAATAAATTGAAGCGTAGATAGTGAGATAAATACTCATATTAGCTAATTTACTCGCTGTTGATAAAAACAGAAATTTGAATATCATATTAACCGTCGGAATCTTTACACCTGCAGCGTTTATGTAAAGTATTTCTAGTCCAAACCAAAACTCATTTAGGACTTTTTTTCTAGTATGCTAAATTATATAAACTGTTATAAAATTAGTCTGGCTCTACACTCTCATCTGATAATCAACTTAAGTACCGTATTGAAAAATTAATTAGCAGGTTGAGAAAATTTTCTGCACACCTATATCGCTATGAACAAAATAGAAAACTAGAAAAACCTCTACGGAGAGAACAATTTATTAATGTAAACATTATACTGGTAGTCATTACAAATTAAAAGGCCAAGCTATTAAATAATTGTACAGTAATTAAGCAACTAATTTTTAGATTGTTATTATCAGACTCAGTACTGCAGCAGTTTGAATAACCAGATAAAATCGAAGGCAACCAACAGTAACCTTGGGTTAGAAAATTATCAGTGAACTAGCATAACGTCGTATATACTGTAAGTGTAAAAAGAAAACAATTGCGCTGGGTATTTCGTCAATACCGGAGAATTTAAAATCTAGCTTCTGTTGGTTTGGATTAGAGTGAGCTAAGTTGTTGCTCATAACCTTCGACCTTTCGGAGTTGTAAACTTGAACCAATATGAATTAATAACTAAATTTCATTAAAATATCGTTCCTATATTTTAATTGAATCATATTACTATGCAGTATAATGTATTAGCTATTTGATGATCGCATGTTTTATTGATATTTATTCATTTTTTATGTTGAAATTTAATGAAAATTTAGTTCTTTGTAATAGATCATATGCATATATCGATTGCAACAAATTTTAATTTTTATAAAGTTATCAGAAAATTAATTCCTTGAGAACTCATGAACTAGGTGCAATAGGAAAGTAACAGTATCGTCATTAAATACTGAATTACAATTTTATTATTAATGAATTAATATCCGGTAAATTTTAAGACATCTTTCATGTTGCAACATATTAACTATAAATAATGTCAATCGTATACTAATTTGCCATGCTAATATTTGTTGTGTCTTTTGCAATAGAAGGTTTAAGTAGATAGTAGCTTCTAAAATGAGATTAATACATGTACTACGTAATGTAATGTATCAGGCATTTAGTAGAAATGCAGTAAAAAATTGAGGTACAACTAAATGTATCGATAAATATTTGTAAACGTTACTCTGACAGTTATACGCATTATGAGCGTTGAGGATGAAATGATTGTAGATAGGACTATTCCATTATGTATCCATTTCGTTCACTAATGCAAAATGATCAGATCCTCTTCGTCTCCTATTTCTAGAGCATCTTATTTTATATTTATTTGTTACGTATACGATGACTGTCATTAAAACGATACTAACGAAAACTGCAATTGCTCCAGCTGGATTATAGCCAGATCCATTTGGAATATGATCGTCTGGATGATGATTGCTATGATTACCATTAGGATGCTGAACTTCGGGGATTTCGATAATAGAAATATTAGCAGCAATTCCACTATTGCCTGTCCAAGGAAAAGCTAAAAATAATGGCAAAATAAGCTTCAATTCGCGTAGTGCAATAAAGATCATAGCAATCATACTTTTATTAAATAAAAATTATAGAAAACCTGTGTAAAATTCAATATACAATTCATTGGTTGAAGAAGTATATTCGTCTGCTAAAGTTGCAGAGCAAATTGTTGCTAAGATTTTGGAATTACTGTCTGGACCATCAAAAATTCTCATATAACAATTTACACATGGAATGTTAGGTGGCAATACAATGTCAGCCATAGAAATCTTGATAGTATCGTCTATTTTTGGAGCCTAAGTAATAACAGCAGGTAATTGTAATCCTATGACATTTCTAGGCGTCATATATTGCTGTACTTGTAGAGCAAACCTGAACTAGCCATTGATTATAACAATTGCTTTTACCAGAATAGCCATCTGGATATCCTGGCGTAGATAGTACCGTATCTTCGCTAATAATTGTGGTAACGTTATCACAATATTCAACTTTTCTTGCAACATAGTAAGCACTAAACCCGTTATAAGTTGGCTCAGTATCATCTAAAAGTTAAGTTTTAAATTCGGATTAGGCGAATATTGATTGTAAACTTAAAAAATAATTTAAATAATTTAGCATTAAAACATCATTAAATCATATTTAATACTTCAAGTCTAGTATTAAGATAATGTAAAGATTAGCCTTTAATTTTCATCAAACATTGCCCTTTAAATGCTATAATCTCAAAACTGTAGCTCGCTAGCACTGGTACGATTCTTAAATTAATAATTTGACAAAGTTCACGTATAGTAATTCTTTATAGTGGTATTACTTTTAATAATTTAATTTTATTAAGCTTAAATGTTGCGTAAGTTGATGATCTTTGTTTCAATTGAATGAATATTATTTTAATTTTATTATGGCGAGGATTATCGTATATACATTGTACTCATCATAAAAACTATATGACAATTAAGAAATTTATGTTGATACAATATATCATAAAATCTGCTTAGACTATGGCTGTTAGTAAAAGACTATTTATAAATTTAGCCACTACAACAAGTTTTATTAGCAATTAAAGCTTTAACTCGTGCAAACTCTGATTTAGTATGAAATGTTATCTTTGTTTATAACTTGATATCCAAGTAGTTTATTGATTTAAAGCTCTACTGAGACGACTAAACTGAAAGTAATAGCATAACTTTAATACTGGGCCATAATAATATATGATTCCTTTGATGATCGCTAATTATAATTAATATCATTAAACTAGCCGATAACTATTGAACGTACTTTTCAAAAATAAAATTATTTTATAAAATTTTAATCCGATTATGATGTTATCATTTAAATGACTTGATACCTATTCAAAGAGATCAATAGCTATAGATGCTATGGTATTGCTATAACTCTACTTTGATTTATAATTTTAGTGGCATACTTTATCTAATCGCCTTACCTGACTTAAAGGCAATAAACATTTGATTAGATGTAGAAACCATGGATGGTTTAACATTATCGGTATTAACACCACAAATTACGCCTAGTAGTGGTGCAGACAATCCTCCTCCATTATAGATTGTTATGCCATCTTTCTCACAATTAGTACTGTCTTGCAAATGAATATCCATGAAATCCAAGAGAATAACATGATTTGGCGCAGCCTAGTGCAGTAATATTAGTAAAAACATTGGATTAGCTTTATCAATATTTACCCATAATTTCGACTTTATGAAAAATCTAAAATTCATGAAACGTACTAGGTAATCTTTAGTTCCGACTGTAAGCAGTAATTACTTATACAATATCTAATAGATTAACTTCAGTAGTGCACTCAGTTGATAATGCCTATGCGAATTGTAATCCTACATGATGTAAAGTGCTCGTTACCTGCAGTTTCCAATAACATCTCGCATTAGAGGGATAAGGATTGGAATATTTAGGGGAGGACAATAATTCGACAGAAGTTGTAGCCATTTTTTTATGTGTTCCACAGTATTCCCTAAATTCCAGTGAGAAGTAAAACAATTTTTAGTTCCATTTTTCTATTTGCGAATATGATTGAGGAACTACCAGGTACTTTATACGTAAACTAACAGCCCCATTGAAATCGTTGCACTTCTATCTGACGAACAAATAGTATAATGAAAGTATCGGTAAATCACATCTATAGATGACCGTTTTATAAGCGTATGTAGACTAACTTTGACCCTTAGCTGCAATTCAGATTAATATTACTGTTACAATATATCAGAGTCTGGATATAATTTGAGTTATATTATACTGATTGTATACTGTATATGCGTGACATCATGCTGGTGATGATATCAATCGCAAAAATTTTAATATCGTAATTATTCTAGTAATACCTGTCAATTTTCAGAATTGTGTCAATAACTTTGTAAGATTTTATTTAAGCTATATCTCTAAGTAGCAAACGAAAATCTGGCTAATCATAAAATGACATCAAAGGGTGATGATAGCAATATAGCAACTAGAGCACAAGTTACCACAAACTATAAAATAGAATGAGATTTTAGCGTACAATGTATACAGTATTTTAACGTCTATAGCTTGACTGATAGAAGTTACGGAATTAGATGCGTCACTAATACACTATTGCATTCTATATTAGATGTAATATTCTTGATATGCTAATAACGGAGTATTAGTATTAAAATAACTAATCTAATATATATATTCTTCTGCTAAGTGAAAAACATGTATTATAGCGAAAGCAGTGGAAGTCTGAGTATCTTTTGATACAAGAGTTAAATGAAGACTACGCTTCTTATTGTGAGATTTACTCTATCGCCGACGCTTTGCTTCAGCATTTGGAACAATTAACATCCTTGGTTGTTTAATAGCCTATGTTGATAGATAAACTGCAGAACTTAATCGTAATGATCACAACTCTCTCACCTGCTTTTAGTATAACAGTATATGAAACCCTCATAATCAATAAACAATCTAGTTTAATCTAAATGAAGCATAACAAGAGATAAACTTACTCCGTGCTTGACGCAGTGGCTTTAAACTTAGATTGACTATTTCTGCTCACAAACTGAACTCGTAATACACTGCCTGCCGAAATGATTGGTGATGGAACTTGATTGCCGCAAAATTTACCTACTAAATGAGGTACAGCAAAAATATCCACAACCTGTATATACTGTCTTTTGCATCTGTTGTTCATAAAGCCGATGGAATGATTCTTGGAGGATATATTGCTATGAGCAATGTGAATCATATCAAATTCTAGTTTAATTCGATTGGTACGATTAGACTGATGAATTATCCACTGACAGTTTACAGGATGCTTGTAGTTGGCTGGATAACTTGGTGAATTGATAGAGATAGCAGGATTATCATCATCAAGTTCTAGACGAGTAATACCTTGGCATGGACTTTGACATACAGCTACCAAAAATAGTTGTGCCCAAATCAGGTATGATAGTAAAATGAGAGTAGTGAAAGTTTGATATCGTAGCATGGCTTATCAGTTGGCCGAAGATATATGAAATTGATAAAACGTTGAACTGCTATATTCGCAAGATTGAATGCCAGATATACAACTTGCCGTAGAGCGCTTGCTTTCAATACACGATTTTTCTAATTCACCGGTCAATTAAATAGAAGGAGAATAACGATTTGCAGTAATCATGTAAATCATGCCAATAAATTGCTAACTATTAAGTACAGTTAGAATCTGATTAGATAAATCTTAGCGATGAAGTAATGATTAAAGTCTGCCTTTACTACCCGATTGCTATAATGTACATCTACTGTTATAGCACGATTAATATCAGGCGAAATATAGGTTTAATTTAAACTGAAGATCCATATGTCGTCAACTGAATTATTACAACTATGTCATGTTTGTATACTAAACCATCCATTAAGTTCATGGTGGGTCAATGTCCTTGTAAATGATGTCATACTGTACTTTTCAATAGAGAGAAGCGTATTTACTTAGTTATTTTAGTCATGGTAGGGAACTGATGTTAAAAAGTAGTCCAGTTGTTGCCTTATGGTCAATACTATTATTACAATTCAATCAACAAAGCGCTACCAAACCAACCTTTTACCAATAATAATTACTTTATAATCGAATAGTACAGAATAATTAGCCATATTCATTTTAAATACTGTAATATACTGTATACGGTATTTAATATAAATAATGGTAAGGTACGTAGGATATAATCTTTCTTATTGCGGTATTTGAAGACAGCCTATCTATTCATATAACTGATATATTCACAGCACTGCATAGTTTATAAGTAATTCACATTGGTCGACCTTGCCATTTGTCCGTATCCATGTTACGGCTAATACCAGAAATTCAATAATATGGGAATTATCCGGATAGCAACGGGTATTCCCACCGATTCAGATAGTTTCGATATTATTTGCAATAATATCGGAGCTATCGAAATTGGTGATTAATGCTGTTTACTATACGGATTATTCCCATATTATTGAGTTTAGGTGTTTACCGTAACATTCCTATACAGCTGAGACCTGAAATATTGAAGGTTTTTGCTTTGGGTTTTGCCGCTTATTTTAAGCTGATCTATTTTTTTAGGTGGGAGGTTATTAGTTAGAGTATTATTTATTACTTTGGATAGTTCCATTACTGTATATAGCATTGAGACGGCTGCCGCACGTATCACGTAGGCACAAGATTGCATTAACTCTTGGTATTTTGTAGACCTATAAGCAAAATGGATTTCATTGAGAATTTTACCGTATATCCTTACTATTCCGTTTTTATAAGTCGGATACAGGGTAAAGGCATTATTTACTATTGCCATTAGTCCATTTACTTGTAATTTGCAGCTGTTCATTAAAGGAAAATATTATCCGAAAGACTGCGCTACAATCCATGGTGGTAGTAGTTACAGTTCCACCTCGTTCCACTTGATCACGATTTAATTTAGGTTGGAAACCTTGCATGATTTCAATACAGCACACTGCTGTTGTGCAGTATATAATAAAGAGTGTGTATTATTGGCTTACCATATTTTCAGCTGTGAAAAGAAATTGCAACTAGGGTTTGGGAGTTAGGTTTGAGACCTTTCTAACGATTGATTCATTAATTTACAATTATTTATACTACATCGACAGTAGAGTAAGGATGGACTACAAGAACAAGCCCAGCCTCGGGCTTCTTCTTGTGATCCATGAGTCCGTGTATATTATTGGCTTGCCATATTTTCAGCTGTGAAAAGAAATTGCAACTAGGGTTTGGGGGTTAGGTTTGAAACCTTTCCAACGATTGATTAATTAATTTATTTATAATTATTTATACTACATCGACAGTAGAGTAAGGATGGACTGCAAGAACAAGCCCAGCCTCGGGCTTCTTCTTGTGATCCATGAGTCCGTGTATATTATTGGCTTGCCATATTTTCAGCTGTGAAAAGAAATTGCAACTAGGGTTTGGGGGTTAGGTTTGAAACCTTTCCAACGATTGATTAATTAATTTATTTATAATTATTTATACTACATCGACAGTAGAGTAAGGATGGACTACAAGAAGTCCATCGTTGGCCTTCTTCTGGTGGTCCATGAGTCCATGACGACAGTAGTACTGTAAGTAATAGGACTGATACCTTGAGGTTACTTTGTCAGTAGACTACGCATACAATACCTTGAGTTTATTGCAAAACTATAGAGTATTCACGGTATTGAAGTCTTGGACTTGCAATAGAAGGTTGGTTTGCAAGCTCTTTGCGACCGTAGTACCGTATGTTCTCCCAGGCCCTTGAATTCAGCGACTTCTAGTACGGTACGGCACGGGACGGTACGGTATAGTGCGGTACAGTACTGTACCGTGTACAATCGGCGTCTACCAAAGAGATGGCAATACTGTAAACGTACTGTACCGGACCGGACTGGACCGGATAGGTAGAGCATCACGTGATGGACATCGGATGGCAGCCCCTTTTTCTCTATACTGAGTACTGTACTGTGCTAGTCAGTCAAGCTGGTGGTGGATTGATGCCATTGGAGACTCATTCGACAGCCCACTTTGGTTGACGATAGATCGCTGTTTGCTATCATGGCTGCTCCTATTCCTCACGGTCGTGCAGTAAAACCAGGAAGACTTTTAGCAGTTGTTGGTGATGAGGTAGGGATTAAAACGGTTTAAGGCAGAAGAATGCATCATGGCAATCTGAGCACTCTTTATTTTGACCCTTTTAGGACACATGTACAGGATTTTTACTGGGCGGTGTTGGCGAAGTAAATGCCAAACGTCAGAAGAACTTCTTTGTTGTTCGAAAAGGTAGTTGATCAAATGATACGAATATAGATGGAATGGGGGGAGCTGAATGGATGTTATTATTCTTTACCATTTTCAGATAGTACACTGGGTGAAATAGAAGAAGCTTTCAAGCATTTCTTGGGGAGAAATGATATTGCCATCATTATGATCAACCAACATGTAAGTACTGTCTCGCTACAATGATTCGTATCATCACAGTATTAATGACATAGAACTAGTTCAACATGGCGAAAGTACTTGAGCCTAAGATGGCTCATTCCGTATTATTTTACCGGATGATGTCTATGTAGTCTAAAGAAGGCTAGCATTTCTTTATATTCATGTTATCATGCATGAACGGCGCTAAGAGTAGCCGCATCGTCATATCATACAGTACGATAGGCGCTCACTTGTAATAGCAGATAATTTGATAATTTTATTCCTACATATGGTACCGGTAAATTGGTATGACATTGGCTTCGGTGTCTTCAATTGGTGATATATTCCTATTCAGTATGGCTAAAATACTTTGATTAATTTACCTATCTGGATAGTTACAAAGTTATCGTACTACCTGTAATCGTATGACTACTCTGTTAAGTGCGCAACCTGTCCTAAATTCAACTATTCCTTTAATGTCCTTATACCATGACTTGACATATGGTGGCATAATAATTTTGTCTATGCTATTACCGTTATCATCAAACGTATTCTATCGCTAAATATGGTATTGCTACTCTCGCTTTACTCTGCAAGAAAATTATGTTGTCGAATAAGAGTCGATGTTTGATGATATCTATCCATTTTCTTAGATTGCCGACGAGATTCGTCACCTAATAGATAAACACCGAGAATCGATACCTGCTGTTTTAGAGATCCCGTCTAAAAATCAGCCGTACGATCCTTCGAAAGACTCTATCTTGAAAAGGGCCAAGGTAATTTAAATCATTTATCCAAGACGCAGTAATTCTAATTATAAATGATTTGTCATGACCAATGTTACACTGGCCATTACTTCTATACGCCAGTTATCTTCAATTTTAAATAAAGATATCCCAAGTAGTGTACATTACAATTTCAATGAATATTTACAGTACGTACAGCACTTACCTGTGCCCAATCAACACAGTACTTACTGTACATCATAGTTCAATTACTAACTGATTAGGTATTTTCTGAAAGCACATTGTCGATAGTCATTGCAATTACATAGAAGCTGTAAAGTTTTAATCACTGCTTTTTTCTGCTATCTTACAGGGCATGTTCAGCGCTGAAGATTTCCGTTAAAGTACATATATATATTTTCAATAAAGTCCCCATTCCGTAATAATATAACCGTAATGCATATCTGACAGTAATGCTTTTATTGTAACATAAACGCTTTTATTACACATTTATTGTATTGCTATTACTGTGTTGAAAGATCAGTTTCATAACATTTAATAAATTGATAACCTATGTTGCAATAGAATTGTTTGTGATTGCAAGATCTCTTACATCAATCAACTATAACGTAAATAGTGTTGATAAATCACAAATAGCAAGTCCATTGTAACTTGACGCTTTTATTAAGATTTATCCTTATGCAATGCTAACATAAATGAAGTTTCCATATCAAGTGTAAGTCGGATAGTCTTATGGCAAGATGTCATTAATATATTTATCATCTAAACACTCCGATTAAAAAGTTGCTAAGAGATTAAGTGAGATAAAAGATAAAGGGTTTTAGCTGTGCAATCGACTAAGCTACATACCTTGTAACTAGCTTGAAACATTTATAAATATACCATGATAACAGTAGACTATAGGTTTCCATACTATATACAAAATTGTGTGCATTTAACTGCGTATCATGCAGACATCTCTATTGCAAAACTTATAGTTTTCAAAGTTTTCTAATAGTAAATATTAATATTAAAATATACAACTAGAACATAATGCTAACACACTGAACGTATCAGATATCACAAACGTGACTTGCGGTTAACTGTACTAGCGATCGTAGCCTAGACACATTATAAGCAACAAAGATTATTTTCTCGTAATGCAATTCCAACATGAATATAACTCCTCGAACGGTGGGTCCATTTGATTATTCAGATTTTTTCAGTGCTGCTTTTTGCTTTTCCCCTACATACTTATGATATTGTTGATCTGTTCCAAATATTCGATCCCAGTATGAAAAGGTAGATGAATAATTGCCAGTAAAATTCATATGATGAAAATCATGAAATTTCGCACCTAAACCATTGCAAATCAAAGTTTGGAACATTTAAAAAATATATACTCGTACACAAATCAACTTAGACAAAGATAGTATAGTTGTACACATATAGGCGAAAAATAATATTGCAATCGCTTACCAGCGTAAAACGGAATCAAATGAAATGGGTTTAAGTAAGGTAGGTTATAGCCACTATGAACATCGATCGTCTCCAATAGCCTTACTGTAACCCAAGCCCAGAGAAGGACAACATGAGTACAGAAGGTAAGAATTCCAATAAAGAAACCCATACCAAGAACAACAGTTTCCACCGGGTGGGCATATTCCGCTGTCATACCAAAAGGTGCCTGAAAATTGTGGTGTACTTTATGAACATACTTATAAAATCGCTTATCGTGCATGATTCGATGTAAAAAGTAATGCCAGGTATCTTCTATTACAGCACATCCAAGTACTTGCATCGCGATGATGTACCTGAAGTAAGAATGACCATGACAACAATGTCAATTATTTTCATATTTCATGATACTTTTCGCTTGTAGTAAAACTTATTTTCAATATTTCTCATCTTCTAGTATTCCGTATTACTAACCAAGCAGGCATCGATGCGTAGTCATATGGAATTCCAAACATTTGAGTAAACGCATATGTACCACAAATCAGAGGCAGCTAAATTGATACGTAAATAATTACTCATTTTATAAGCAACTGGCAACAGAGTAACCGGTTGAACCCGTACTAGCTTGTATGCACAGTATGCACTGTATGAACTTAACCGTGCACTTGAATTTCGAATAAATTGACGCATCAAAAGAACTTTCTTACCTGAATAAGGAAGTGATTAAACATGAGCAGCTTGAAACACTTCCATTGCTTGTCGAAAGTTTCAGGCTTATCCTGTCAACGAAGTATTCGTTTCATGTTAAACAGATACACATAGAATTAACTGCTAGCTTAAGAAGATACTACATCTTGTTTACTATTCATTTCTTTCAAATTGGTAATGCACAATATAAAAGCAAAATGGTAAGATGAGAATAGCAAGCTATTTGCAAGCTATTTGCAAGCTATTCATCCAAGAGATGGCGTTTGTTAGGCGAATATTTCGGAAGAGTAATGCTATACGCCTTTATATTAAGTAGAACGGGACGTTTGTACAGTAATAAGCGTACGCACATATGAATGGATGTCGGGTTTATCATCCGATAAAGTCAAAGTTAGATGAAGCATTCACTATGATAGGAAGTTTGATCTATTTTAGATCATTCCTTTACAACTTGCTTTATCTGGCGTCGAAACGTGATCACAGTACCGTTCTTACATTAACAACGAATACTCGTCAATGATACAAAAAATATATGAACAGTACAGTATCAATAATGCCATACGTACATTCTACAGCACCAGAAGTAATGCTTAGGAGCTCGTGTTTTGGATGACTGTTACTAAAAATGTCCATTACTCTGTGACTACGTATCGTTGTTTATTTTATTCTTCACTTATGTCACAGTTTTCACCTCAACAACGATTTGATACACTCGCATATCTGATTTCATGGCTTCAAAAGCAATCGTTATATGAGTGCGTAATACAGTAACGGCAGACGTGATGATTGTGAAGCAATAACTGGTAGAGGAATACAGTAGTTCCATTCTTAATGATTTAATATATATAAAGGGACACCTAGAACGTTAAGAGGTTGATCATAATCCATTGGTTCTCCTGGATTGGATTCCGTTGTGTGCCTGTGTTGGGGTTCGGTGTACTGTAGTATAGCAATAGTCAACTTATTTATGACACTGTCTGATATTCATTCATGAGGTGGGTGAGGGAAATATTTGTTATAAAGCATGATGACATTACCGTAGTCTACAGCAGTACAAAGAAGAAAAGTAGGTTGATTGAAAGTAGCAAGATACCATTTCAAATGTTATTCACTCGCTGTATTGAATATATAGCGGATATCCTTTATATTACCTTTTGAATCTTGAAGTAATGCATGAACGGGATAAATTGAGCCATAAATCCAGGCGCACATGCGCCAAAATAAACCAGCTAAAAAAATACATTGAAATGACACAAGTTATCCTTTGCCATGATTGTTGATGAATGTACAATTTCGACTTGGTAATACAGTTGAAAATGTAGGCATAAACAGGTAGATTATTTGCTATCCAAATGACAACTGCCATTGCCGACCGACCGACCGACTTGGTGTTGTACACCTGAATGGATGAGACTTATCCAATATCATGCTGATACCTCATGAACGATCAACGATCCCCAAGTTGCAATTTGAAATTTAGTATAACGATCGGTCATAGCCATCCAATAATCCCGAAAATAGGGTTCGACGGGATTTTGCGGCAAGTAATCCGTTAGCGGGAAGGATTCGTTAGCAGAATAAAAATTCATCTTGGCACCACCTTAGCGACGATTTGAAGACGCTTCCTTTCACAAGCTTCTTGTCTGGTGTACTACGGGTTGGGTCATGCGTATTTGAACTTGAAGTTGGGACGGTACCGGTCCAGACCGTAGACTGTCATCATAGTGTCACCCTGTCCTGTACAGTGTACAGTGTACAGTACAACGACAATAGGATTGTACTCAATCACTGTAAGCCGGTATGACGTGACCTTTGATTCGACCTGCGGCGACTTCGACTGTACACTGACCTGTATACTCAGGTCTAGTTCAGGCGACACTGCTGCAGTACAGTATGAGTCTGCGTCAGCATGACAAGTTCACGCTGCCTTGGCTCGGTCACGTACAGTACTGTATGTGTACACTACGTCACGTACTCAAACTCACCGTTGATAGCATACCCTACTATCGCAAGATTCTCTGTGTCCCCTAGACAGTAACAGTACAGTACAATCAATTACGTTCCAACTGTCAATACTGCACTTTGATTGGCTAATGTGTGCTGACCTGATCTCAAATCACATTCATTCGATCACGTGTGTCGATCATGGACAGTCTGGCCCGATCCGTCATCACCAGGAAGGCCAGCCCGCCTGCCTTACAGTATTCGACCCGGATGAAAACTATCCTGGTACGGTACTGTAGCCTGTAGGGTACAGACGGGAGACGCCTTGCCAGAAACATGGACACCTGGGAAGGATGGACACTCCCTCGGATGGACGGACTTTCCACACCAGAGGAGGCTGAAAATGTCGCTCAATATTTTACTCAGCATCAATCTTTCCGATCTGTTTTCTCAATCACTCGTATTCATTGGAATAACATGGATATTCGAAAGTGACTGCTTCCAAGCAAAGCTTAGCAACAGGCAATGGAATACAATGTAGTATCACTTCATTTAGAAAGAATCAGTCAATTTAGAATCGACTGCCTGCATAACTAAAATAGTGTCATTAGCAAGTATTGGACACAATTTATTGACCAAGGCCAAGCTACGTACGTACAGACAAGACGCCTACCAAGTCCAACACTGCAGCAGTTCTCTTTTAGCTTACTTTTTAGCCTCTTTTTCAATTCATTTCGATAGCATAACGCAATCAATCATAGCACGTACAGTAGTGAATAACTCGCAATAAATGGACTATTCAATATATAGAGTACTCGGTAGCTCAATAGCTACTTAAGAGGATACTTTGGAGCAGTATACTCCAGTTAAAATGACCAGCAAAAATGATCGGCCGACAAAGTTCAATATTCAACTACAATGTCGACACATTGAAACTTGTAGCGACACCAAAAAGATCGCTTCTGGACAAAATTCCAACAATTGACTATCGCTACAGTATTTCCATCAGCCATGGTCAATATCAAATCACGATCAAGTGAATATTGTTCATTCCTGTATTAAAACATAGTTACAGGTTCATTCATTTTGAATTAGTCATCATTCCATCGCGATCTTCCCATATCAACTTACAATACTCAATTCTGTCAAGAACTCAGATACTATATTAGTGACACTACAAACCGGCTTTAGTACACATTTTATCCGTATAAAAAGTTACAATGATTTGTATGATACTAATTCAATCAGTTACTTGCTCACTACAACCAATAATGTCAGCTAAATACAATAGCTGTCCATTGAATCAATTAAAATATTAATTTGATCATTTTATTTCATTGGGGACTAGGATGAAATCATTCCATGGCTTGTATTCCATTCAACTGAAAACGTTGGCGATACCTATTGAAATAAGAACCTCTATTTAGACTATAGTAATTATCCATCCGGTATATTGATTATTGGCTTGCATTAGCACAAGTGGTATCAAAATCTTAGCCATTCATAACATACAAGTATGGCATTGAGTTAGGCCATTTTTTTTTCTATAAAGTTATTAAACTTTATAGTTAACTCCATCGAATTATAAAACAATTATAGTATCTACTCCTATAGTGTAACCCGTATATTAGTCTGCAATCACACTTTATTTTTATCTTTAAAATATCCCGGTAATTAATGCCCTCATTACATCTGATACAATTCTGAAGCCATATTATTATCTCTAATTTACATCTTCTATTTCAATTAAACTAATTCTGAATAATTAATTCAATCGAAACAGGAATAGCATACATAAGACAATTATATCAAGAGTACTAGACAGCAAATACCCTCTTTCATAATTAATGGACTTTGCATATTACATAGCAACCGATTAATCAATCAATTACTCATTCAATTTTTACTTTAACCACTGCTTTAATCAGTATTCTTCTACTTAAGTTTACAGTGCCATGCTTAAATTTTACGATTGGCTTGTCAATATTTCAACTTCTGATACAGATTATATATGCGTATATATATATATCTTCATCTATCGTTGTACGCTCAATTCTAAAAAAATTCTGTTGAAATCGAAGAGTTAACGGATAAGTTTACTACAATCATAATCTCATTTGAAATTATAAACTTCAACCCACAATATTAGTACTGTGCTTAAAATCTTGCGATCAAATAATTAATGACTTTGGTTTCATCTCCAATTAAACTAATTATTAGATCTATCTACAATGAAGATACAAAATTCCCTGATAAATGTACTAACTCATTAAATATTAGACTCTTAATTCAAGTAACTATTTCGACCTAGAATTTCCATTTTGAATATAAATTTTACTCTCGTTCTATCTGTTATTCAAACTTTTTTCCTATAACAAAACGTTATCGTAACATAGAAACATATTATCAATCAATCATAGAATGCTTATTGTAATTATCGAAGTAATTAAGTCTATGTATCGGTTCCTACAAGATCACTGTTGAGTTAATCAATTTTATACAGTCATATAGTGCCCAAGTGATTTGAAATATGTTTATTACCATCTTGACTGTCGACAAACTTACTCTGATCTAACTTGGCCTAATTATAATTATTAATGCGTTAGAATTTCTCACTATGCCTTTTTAAATCCATTTCAATCGGTATATGGACACTAATGGTGATCAACATCCGTTTAATTCAAATTAATCATTGGCCTTATAGGCTAGTCATATCAAGGGATATATTGTTATCCAACAGCTGACTGCATCAAATGGGCCAAATTATTATGATTAGAAGGAGTACAGCTGCAACATTTTCCTTGCGGCATGTCAATAATTAATTAATTTAAAAAGATAAATTTAAAACAGGTGATGAAAGTATACCTGATATTATTTCCTACATCAAATTGAGCATAAATTTTCCATTATCTTGAACTAATTTTTTCCTTCATATTTGACATTGAAAGCTGTTAAATGATAAAATAATAACGCAATTCTACCTTATCAATAGGGAATTAAATATAGAGTATTTTCTTTTCGGATCTTGCTTTGTTACGCAACAGTAAAGAGCGACCTTTTAGACTAGGTTATCATTAACAGAAGTAGCATAGTATCTGCGAGACTGTACTTAAATCTTAAAATGATATTATCTTTCTTCAAAAACTTTTCTATTTTTAGTTGCTGTATTATTGTTGTCTATAATGTTTGTTGACTTATTTACTTGCTCTTCTACTTCAAAATCAAGCCAATATTTCGATTCTGTCTAATATTTTTCATGCAAGGTCAGTTTCATAAATTTCCACCTTAATTTCGTAGAAGAACTTACGGCTAAGTGAGAAAACTTCACTTCGATTTACAAAATGAGAGAGAAGTAGTTATGAATAAGATTGCTTACCTATCCATTCGGATTGATATTTACGTTTGGGATAGTTAGAGATCATTACAGAGCTTGGATGAGAGTATATAAATAATATTAGATTCATTGCGGTGAAATTTTCGTCCTTGCCACCGTCTTGTTTTTCAATTTCGTATATCACTCTGGAGAAATATCTAAATTACAAATATACCTAGACTGCAAACCCTTTTCGTCCGCAAGTTGCCGTATTTAGAATTATACTACGCAATATGTTATTACTATTTTAATGCTATTTTTTTTGCGAAAAACTATTTGTCAATAGGTGACTTTTCTTCTTTCACTCAGATATACGTATTCCCAATGCCATGATTCTAGCTATAAATTAGAATTTAAACTAATGAGATACAATCAGATAAATAAAATTGCGTATATGGATGCTGTATATCTAAGCTATACTCTTTCTTTATGCCATTTTCGATGCTTACTAGCGATAATCATTTCCGATCAATAATTCTATCGGTTAGAATAACAGTCCATCAGACTTATTATGAACAGTTAGCAATTTACCGATGGAAATGCGACAATGGATTGCAATACTAGACAACCGGCGGTCAAGAAATCATTGGTAATACCGACATTTGATCAATATTTAGTCATTTCTATTCAACTTGAGAGGAAAAGGAGGATGATTATGATATTTGTAGTGATAATATTGAATTAAAATTAGCTGATAAATAACTCGAAAGTGTTATTGTCATTTTATATAGACTTGCTGTACTTTCATTCTGATGTTAATAGATGATACTAGAGAAGCGAGTGTTTCCTCCATCAAGATTGATTGTCTTCAACCAAATTACAGTAGCAAAATGAGAATGGAGATATTTATTGTTTTGGATCGATTAAAGGATTTTCTACTCTTAACGTAAATATAGAATAAATTATAAATAGATATAAAGATTGATATTAGCAACTGGAATTAAACATAGAAAATCAGCAATAACAACAAGCGGACATAACATCAGACCGACTTTTATTTAATTTTAAATCCAATAGCATCCAACTCGGATATAAAAGCATTTCAATTCTGATTTTCAGACAAAAATTGTTGATTTATGGATTGTCGTAATTATTATTGAAAGAAAAAATAATCGGGTCTAGCTATGGAGTATTTTGAATCAATCAAACCAGGATATGGGCTATGCAGGGTCTATTATTGACATTGAGCAGAATGAATAAATGACAATGATCAAAGGTGAAATCCGGGTCTAAAAAGTTTCCATTGCGATCATGCTATACAGTGTAGATAGGTATCATACAATAAAAGATAAAAAAAGAAAAGCATAATATTCAAATTTGACGATCAACTGATACTAAACCCTTCATATCAGTAATTGAATGGAAAGGTGTAGATGTTAGCTTATTTCTCCCCCTCCCTGTTAGGCGTTTTAATTCATTTGTACGCTTACTCGTATGTTTATATTTTTTCTTTTCATTTTAATTACTTGAAATTTATGATATAATATCACGATAATAATTGCAGTAGTGTGTAGATATAACAATTTATCTAGGTACCATCTACAATTCTGCCTTACTGATGTACTAGAATAGATAATTTTAACTTCCGGTCAATTCTTCATTGTCGGACAGCTTTGGTGTTGAAAATTGGTTGAAACCCAATCGGTAGGTTTCGGATCAGGAATTGATATCTACTCAATTATAAAGCAAACGAAGTCCTCTATAATAATATGAGTAGATTAGTAACATATAGAAGGAAGTCAATGATATTAAGCTAGTTTGAATTTACTCTTCTCTACTTGAAAGGATTTCATTTAATTTTGACTTCAAGTAATACCAGAGTTAGTATAGATATCTTCATACATTAATTCAAGTAAAATGCCGATTGCAGACGATTATTCTAGTTTAGGTAAAGATATTTTCACTCCGAAAGAAGCAATTACGCGATAGATTGCTTCTATTAGGATCTAGAGCCGGTATCTTATTTGGGTTAATCTCTGTATTTCGTGGCCGAATTATTAATACGGCCTGAAAAAGTTATTTTTGGACGTTAATTTTATCGACAAGTCAACTTTAAATCTTAATTAGTAGTCCAAAATATCATGTAAGTTATTCTCAACTGGAATTGGATTGTTTTAGATATTATTTGGATACTAGTCTTGTTGAAAATCAAAATTTTAATTATCAACTCATTGAGAACGGTGATCTATTTTCAACATAATAGAAATTTATTGCTCAGTTACTAGAGCCATTGCCGGTTGCATTTTAGTACAAAGTTTTGCATTGATTTACAGTAAAAGAATTGAAGCTATCTCACTACTTTTAGTAAATATCTCTTTGACGAAAATAACATCAATACCAAGCCTCATATAGATCACTGACAGAAAAAGCGAAAAGGAAACAAACGGCGTAAGAGCCAAATTCAGTTCGTCTTTACTGTGGTTTTTTTTTAATTTTTATAATGATTTCTATGTATATTTTATCCTATTCATGTTGGTAGTCAAGAAAGCAATCATCACACAGTTGATTTGATTAACATTGGATTTAGATTAAACATTCAATACGGCAATATTAATAATCAATTAAAATAGACAAGAAAAGTAATTCATCAATCTCTTCATCCAATTAATTTCTACCAACAAGTCAAAAAAAATCCATCATTATACTCTTGGCAGTCTAAGCACTAATTGTCTCTTTTGTGTCGATTTAATCATCCTGACTTATCTATTTAATATTTCATCAACAAGCATATTTTATTTATCATCAGCTATACTATTATCCATGACTACATTGAGAATTAATTACTGTACAATATTAATTTGACTTTAAACAAGTCTCCTAGCAAGTCCATTAACAAAGTTATTTTATTGCTTTTCAATATCGGATAGTCATTATTGCCATTATTGAATTTAGCTCGACTTTAAATTTAATCCAAGAAAATAGTCATGATGAAAAATTAGTTGGTGATTTATTCCTTGTCAACGCTGGGAATTACAATATTAGCTACTCCAAATTAATTGTAATCTCTAATCAATGTTTCATCTTTGGGATCAACAATCAATTTTAAAGGCAATTTATGTTACAAAGTTTATAGTAAAGTATTAGTAAAACGTACCAACTTAAGAACTTATTGACGAAAGATAAAGGACAAGTTTTGGAAACCCCTGGATAGATTTTATCATTACTTATGCCTGTACCAAAATTACAAGTAATCCTAACAAATCGAAAAGTTCATTATACCTTACGTGGCCGATTTATTCTTGCTAAAGAACTTTCTTTTCAATTATTAAAGACTTAGATCAAATAGATAAAATCAGGAATAATATTAAACTCATTCGTCCACCTTTGCAACTATTACAATGTTGTATCATCAATAAGGATCCTTTAGCAGAAAGGTCGACTAATAAGAGCTTGATAGTCGCTCATCTTACGAACAACCTTTTTCAACCTAACTATTCTAACCGTGACAAGTAGTGCTGGTAAATCGACAAGTTTAACAGCATTAATTATATCCATCCAATACGTCGTATAGACCTTTTTCTCTTCTGGAATTTCTATTATATCATCGCGGCCATCACAATCGTACTAAAATTGTTGAATATCAATATATTGTAGTGAAAATTATCTGTTGTTGAATATTTACTGCCAAGTCCATTCATTATTCTTGTCGATAATTAATCACTTTTGATCAAAACCAACAACGTAAGCTCTTACTTAGCCTATAACATCATCAATAAAATATCTTGTAATAATCTACTAATCCATGCCAATTGACTGTATTATACTTTGTTTTCAACCTTGAGTTTATTATCGATCAACTCAAGGTTAACCTTTCCTTTCTGGACATGATTCTAATCAACTGCAATAACACGACATCAACCGATGGAGATCATCGGAGCGATAATTATCCTTGGTACATTATCGCTCAAGCTATCGCTATCGCTATCGTTTCTATTTTTATTATTATATCCAATTGTATCACATTAATTGTAATATCTATGATGAAAAATCGTAAAGCACCCGATATCGTTTTGGCATTATTAGCTATTACTGATTTATTAACCCCCATTTCAGTCTTTCTTTTTGTCATTTTTGATTTTTTATGGCATAGTGAATGGATTCGAATTGGTATCTGTTACTGGGTTACCTTTACATCATTGCTATTCTTTCGCTTATCGATGTTTATCACCACGATGGCTGCGTTAGAACGTTGTTTAGCAGTCGCATTTCCTGTCTATTATCGTAATCATTTCACTATAGGTAAAATTATACGAAGTTTAGCTATTTTATCCACTTATTGTGTAGCTATTGCAGTTCTTCCGATAATTACTGGCGATGTGGTTATTACCTGCCCTAAATATGCAAGCTGCCAAATTAATTGGTCTAACCCATCATGGCCTATAACTATTTTAGTAATATTTTATTTAGTTGAAACATTGTTTGCCGTTGCAGTCACAGTCACTAGTAATACTGTTGTCATGCGTTACTTTCATAAGAAGTCTAATAATAAAATCTCTCCATCGATTGAAATGGGTTTAAGGACAGCTGCTGTTAGTACTTTAACTGCAGCAACAACAACTACTGGTCTAACACGTTCAGCATCACGTTATTTTAATCTATCTTATAATGAATATAAATACGCAAAACATCTACGATTAGTATCCTTATTCTTTATCCTATCCTTCGTCCCAGTACAGGTAAGTCTTGCATTAATAATTTTTATTTTTGTTTTTTCTTGCCTTGATATTCAATGGTTATCGTTCTACTATACTTTTTATTTATTGATTTCTCGGATGGCTTCAATTGATTAATATAATAAGAGAGGAAATTTATATAGCGATGCTTTCCTCTTCAACAGTTTTATTTTCCTTGCTAATCTAAAATATGAGAAAAACTCTGAGTAATTAGTGCAACACAAGACAAAGATAAAGCACCTATGTGTACCATATCACATTTAATTTAAACTCTATCACTTATATTGATGTCCTTTGTAATTTAATTTTTGACACCATGGTAATAAGACGAGAAAAGATGCTTGTGTGTAAGTTGCAGTAGAGCTTATATTAAGGTTTATTAGACTATGCTTGCCAATTTCAAGAAGGTGCGATTTACCGCTCCTAACATAGACACCTCTATTGGGCTAGAGATTTTCTTAATATTTTCAAATCATTATCAATCAAGTGGATAATGAATACACCACTATCGAACATAGAACCCATCTTCACTACAAAAAGCCGTTAGAATCAGCTATTGCAGAATAGCTCGCTTATGTTGCTCAATAACCTTTTTTTAATCTCAATTTAAATTGACTTAATTTTGAGATATTACAGGAGAGGGAAAGTTTAATTTCTGTCGAGTTCGTTCTCGTACTGGTTGAATACTCAAATATTTGAATCTTCTTCTAGCATTATGATGGGATATAAGCAATATTTTCTTTTGTGTTATAGATAGCGTTATAATTTACACGTAATGTAGACTAATTATGCGCATAATACTATACTTTGGTAAATGATATTATCAGTTATTTTAAAAAAAACTTCTAAAAGGACAATTATTAGAAAGGAAAACCACTATAAATAGATCCGTAAGGTATACTTTTCCTCGGACAATATCTCATTTATTGATTCTATCAACTTCAAAACAACAAACATCTGTCTCATTGGGGATGAATAGACTTTAAGAGTAAGGATTTTCAATCATTTCAAAATGGCTTATCTTTTCTCAAATAGAAGACAGTTCAGAATAAAACTGATATAAAGTACAATAGAAGAACTTAGGAAAGAATTCTATTGAAATCGGCACCATTACACTTTGATCCTACTTGAATCATTCCACCTAATGAAGGTGTAAAAATACGGTTAAAACAACCGATGGTGTGCTTGTATTTCTGGGCTTCAATCTACTTCTTAGACTGAAATTGGAATTATTAAGGGAATTATGCCTACTTGCAGCCGGTATCAATAATAAAATGACAATTTTGAACGGATAGAGAATGAGCTTATCTGAGATTGAGTTAAAACGTTAGGACAAAATATAATGCTATATATGCAATTTTCTTTGATATCCATGGTTGTCATAAAATCTGTTAGTGGAAATGCTTTGCCTTTGGCAGGATAATTTCACAAACATTAGTGCAACGTTTAAAATGTTTTATATTGATATAACTGAATAATTTATGGTCAGTAATAAGTGAGAAATGAATTCATAGCTGTAAACGAGATAAAATAACTAAAATTTATACTTAAGCTATCATTTTCCCTCCATTTTCTAGCTCTCTATCCTACAGTTCAATGCTGAAAATGGTGATAGTTTTGATAATGATAAAATATTGCTGTTTTGAGGTCAGATCTTTTATTATACAGTACGGTAATTAATGACATCCTTTTCTGTAAACCCTCAGTTTCCTCATTCTAGAGGCGTATAATTGCAAGGTAATATCAATCTAATTGATGTCCACAGATAAACATTTAATTTTGAGGAATGTCATTCAATTTTTCTGGCTTTGCATTCACTACGAGGGTAGAATGATTTTAAAGCAATTCCATAAATCTTGGAATTTTTATTCGCAGTCTACATTACCTTATGCAGTAGCAGAATACAGCTAGATTTAAATCGCAATCGTGGCTATCATTACCAAATAGCAATCTAGACTAATCTATCAATAAGAAGAGCTGATTAGCATTGCGATGCTATTGAACATGATTATTTGGCAGGATCAGAAAGATAAAAAAGTATTAGCAGTAATGTCAATATTTTTTTAGTTTTTATTGCATACTACATCTTATGGATAGCTATCGGTGCGAGTTTAAACCTATTACGCTAATATAAAAGATTTAAAGACCAGCCTTTGGACTATTACTAGACTAACTAAGATTTAATTATAAATATTATAAAAGATTTAATGACTAGCCTTTGGACTTTAACCGAAGACTGCCATACGTAATATAGGAGCAACTGCGCTTGCAATAATTCTTCTTCTAGCTTACTGTAAGATCTCTCTTACTTCACTTCACTTATATTTGATCAATTTGCTAGAGTTAGCAAAGCACAATCTTATCTCACAATAAGAATAGCCGACACAGATATAGGATTCAAATTTAAAAGGTTTATTAAACCGCTATGCAAATCACGTTCTGGCAGATTCGTCATAAATCACTTCTCCTTCCTCGTAAGAACAGTCGAAAGTGACTAAGATAAACCGGATAATCGGACTTGGCCAATTTTCAATCAATCACAGTTCTATACAAATCATATATCTAGCAGTCTCTACTCTTTATATAGTAATTTCTTACTTGAAAATTTGTCGAACCCAGAAACGACGTCCGGCTAAGATAAAGCGGATAATTATCCTAATACTTAGGACTGTAGAATCATCATACAAATTATTACTACTTCCTATACTACTTAGGACTTATAACTAAGGTATTACTCAGCTAGTTAACTTAATACTGAAGGAATCTTGAAATTTACGCGGTGCTACACGTACATTATATACAGTAAGTAATACAATTCCGATATTCAGATTTCAGTTGATCAATAAACATTCAATTCTAAAGAGGAAAAGGGCCTTTCATGACTTAGCTTCAATGTAACCGGAAGTTTTATGATTTACATAGAAGACAATCAATACTGTAGCTACTCCAACTAGACTAATTTGAAGTTTAAAATTCCAATAAATTGGATTGCTATTTGATATACGTATCAACATCTAATCCTTAGTTTGGTAGGAAATTCCCCTAATAGTCCATGATTTCAATCGAAAATTATCATTTGATATTGTAACTATTAATTACTGCAATACTCATACTGAAGTAACTTAAAGTTACAAGTTCCGCTGCAGTAGATTATTATTTGACTGAAATTATCTAATTCTAGGTATCGTGAGATTTTTAAAAGGGCTCATTGTTTCAATTTAAATTTTTAATCGATTTCTTCTATTTGTCTAATATGTGTCAAAATAAGAAGAATCTAACAAAATTTCTAATAGACACGTAGTATCAAATCTATTAAAAGACGAAAGTAAATTGATATTTGCGCTTTCATGAATAATTTCTCATAATTTATTATAAATACATTAAGAGTATGCTAGTACAGGATAAGCGTTATAATGCATTGCAGTAACAGTTACAGAAGGACAGATTTAATTCCTTCGATTCCCAATATGCATTACTGTAAAGCTAAATTCCCCGATACGTCTAGTATTAATAAAGAGAACGCTGATCTTGCGCCTCCCTATGTCGATCTAGTAATATTTATTGGAAACTAGTTATAATATCAAAATATAAGTAATATTAAGTTTATCATAGCATTAGCCTTAGCTTAAGGTATAACCAGCTCTTAAAAGCAAATATATAAAACTTTTAAAACCAAATGTAGAAATACAGTATAGAATATGATCACAGCATCATTTAACATATGAAGCAGTGCTACATCTAATCTTACAGCTCAGATACCTTTCAAATTGTTTTACTGATCTCTTACCAAAATTTATGTTGGTATAAAGAGACCTTATGCCCGATATTCTGCTTTCTTGATGTAATAGAGAAGATAAAAAGTAATTCTAATCTACTATTAAAATGGATTCTTAATCAACTTTAACAAGAACGTTATATCATTACCACTCAGCGTGAGGTTCCAGCTTTCTATTCTAGATATCATACCACAAGATCCTGATTAAATTTCTGTTTTAAATTAAGTATTTTAATCATATCAACTAGCTGGAAACTAGATCTTCTTACCATCAGTCAAAATAGCTCAACTATCAATGCAGATACAATATTGCCGTATAATGCAAAAGCAATGACGGATTTAATGTAAGTCGATTTGGTTTATTACTTCAGTATCGATCTTATCTAGAAATAAGCTAGGGTCAGTATTTATTTAATTTCCGATGACCTACTAGAATTAGCAATTTGGTAATACTGATTGACAAGACTGAAATTTCACTAATTAAAAACAAGAGGAATGGTGTAGAAGATTTTAAATTCCTATGTAGATTGATAATATCCTGAAAAATTAAACCCAAATCCTATAATTGATCTGTAAGAAGCAATTTAGTATTTATCAAAATTCACTTATATTGTTTAATTTTTAATGATAACTATTAAAGATGTCTAAGTGCGAGATAATGTAAATGAGGGGAGGGGGCTATTCGAATTAGATCAGATGTAATATGTAGACGTAAAAATGATTTATATTGAATCAGTACAATCAGGCGGGCAGGTGCTGTTTCCGTTTACGTAATAGCACTTTAATCAAGACGTCATAATTACTAAAGGTATTTGAATATAAGGAGTGTCGGTATAACTACTTATTTTGTTTCATAATGGAAAATTTCTCCGTCGTACTACCATTCTTACGTATTTATATGTGCATGCACTAAGTATCGACGTTGATTACTGTATTATCAAAATGTGAGCTTGATCAAATTTAACGGCAATATTGCCTGAAAATGAAAAATTAGATGAACTAGTAGACAAATTACTAATAACGTGATTTTACTAAACATCTAGATTTCTATTTCTTGATAGTTAAAGTAATCTAATAATCCCATAAATAATATAATTAATGCTTCTAATTCGTTATTTAGTACATGCTGAACTTACCTGATAAAAACAATTAGCAATCGCTATATCTATCATAAGAAATTAGTAATACCTAGCTCTAGACCATCGGTCCAGTATCGCGCTATCTTATGTCAAATAAAAGTAATTATCAAAACAGTTGATCTCCAAATATAGGCTACCATTCTGATATTGTACTGAAATTATATTAATGCGATCATCTAAGAAACTGATAACTTTTGAGTCTAGATATTTAGTTTAGTTTGTATCATGCTAACCTTAATCGAAACTAAATATCGCAACTACTCTTAACACTTAGTTTGGCTTTTCTCTTTGTTGACTAAACTTACATTATTTGTGATAAATAACTAATAAGGAGCTTGTAAATAATGAGCTTAGTATCGTACTCTGTTCGAATTAAATTAGCGAATATATTACTGAAATTAAAGAATGAACTAATGATATATAATCTTCAATCCTCAATGTTCAGCCTTGTTCTATTACAGCTCGCTTATACTATCGTGATTAGATGATTAGCTTATAGTCTTTAAACTTCGGTATCACGTCTAGATATAACATAATATACCTGGTATACTAATCTATTAATTATTAAATCATTACATCTAGTAAACCTCTCATAATTATGATCAAAGTCATTTAAATTAAATAGAATCTTTGAACGCAAAATTTACAGCATCAATCACTAAATGTGAATATCGCGGTATAACAACCAAGTCAGCAATTCTTTATAATCTATCTCGTACCCTACAACATACGTCATTAAATGATAGATTTATCAACTGTCACTCAAGGACGAATAGCTTTTCAGTTAATTTCTTTCATCGTAGAATGATTTACCTGCAGAATATCATTTATTTAGTGTTAATTAGACAGTTGGTCATCTTAAATAAAGTAAGCTCATAAACTGCTATCAGGAGAATCATTATTACTTATCAACTTATTATTTCACAGTAGAATATTTGGACCAAAATAGTATCATTTTAAACAGTATTACTTCAAATTAATGTTACTGAATAACTTTATATGGTCCTTAACATTTATAAAGTATAATTTAAATTATAATTAGTATATGCTATCGCACTTTTATTAGAGATTTACATGATTAATTTTTGGTAGACGACTTGAAATAATGTATGTCCTTTTCCTTTATTCTATCTACTAGATCCTTATTTTGTGGAGTCGATTCGGCAGTTTAACAATTAGTATCATCTCCGTCGATATTATTCGAATTTATCTAGCTGGCCTTAATATGATCTTTAATCCTTTTATGTACGCTTTCATGCGACGCCACTATAGAAAAAAGTATCGTTGCGTTCTTAGTCGATTCTTTACATTTTTTGATTATCGTCCCAGAATGCTGTTTCACACGACATCAGTTGGTAAGTCAATATTGGAAATGCATAGACATTATCATCGCTAATATTATGATTTGAAAGTTTTTAAGTACGATACTAACTCAGGAATAAATGACAAAAATTATTAATTTATATTGAACGTCAAGTGTGATAGCTTAATTTTTCGTAGATGACGCAGTCCAATTGTATTACACATCACTAATGAGAAAATATTGATTCTTTGAGTAATGTAGAATTTGAATGAGATATTGAATATAAACTAGATCGTATACTATTATATGTTCAAATCAGCTTATTTGTAGTATAATCATTAACATGAAGATTATCTTAAAGAATGAATATGATTATGATCATCTATAAATGTACCTTTTTCCATCTTAATTAATAAATGAATACATAAAAAATAAAAATGAATGAATAGAAATATGTATAAAAAATATCCAAATATATTGTATCAATATTACTAGCATCGATTGACTTGAATAATTTCAATTTGGAAAATTTTAACAACCACAGACGTTAAATTCTGAATAATATGTTTAGACTTTTTCATCAATTTTTGATTTATCTTTTTACTTTAGCTAATGAATGGAGAGATTATAAAACAGAAGTTGGCAAATTAAAAACAGCTGTAGATCATACAAGTTACCAAAATAGCTTGTTAAAATCTGCCTTGATATATCCAGGTCAGCAGATTACGTAGTTAACGAATAGAAATTATTATCTTGAAGTACTTTATGAATTTCGTAATTCAGTTGAGGTTTATATTCTATTAAATTTCTTATTGTCGTAATTTTAGTGGGGCAAGTTTGCTCTGTGGCATTCCTAGCTCAAATAGAAAGACCTCCTACAGCAGCTGTAGCAACTGCTAGAATACATTTCGATCATGATTTCTTCTGGTCAAGAGGTAATGTGTAAATATCTACTGTACATCTACCAGGTCGACCAATAAAAGTTTTGACGGGTACTAATGCGGTCGTGCATGCACTTAATTGCTCAAAGTAATTGATCCTGTCAAATTTGCAGGCATTTCGACAGCTTTCATGAAATGTTATTAGTATATTACCTTCATTAAATCTGTGCTATCTATCATCTTTTAGTTAATATTTGCAATTATTAATGTAGAAAATAATCATCAAGAGCCGAAAACGTCTAAAAATTTCCATATATCCGATATTTGCGACTTTGATACCAATTCTATATCCAATTCTATTCAAACATCGAATTCAAGAGTCGGTAGTCCACAACTGCGATGGCCATTGCCACCAATAAATGGCCGAAGTAGTAAGAGTAAGTGTGATCGGTGTACAAGTCCTATATTTTACCCAGTTTTGAAATGAAGTTATTTCTACGTAACGAAATAGTGTATAAGACGGATAATCTCTACAATTTCAGATATTTAGTGCATTTTAAACTTGTTGTTCAATAATAAGAATCGCGAGTTACTTTATACTGTTAGCGCCCCCCCCCCCCCCAAAAAAAATCTTCTATCTATCGAATAAGTATCTTTAGAAATGATCGTTTCACAACAGAAGACTTTTGCATATTGATCAGTTTGCTGGTGTCGTAATAATAGAAGATTGATTCAGATTCATAATTGAATATTAACGTGGTCTATCCTAATTCTCTGTTACAGTCAAAAATCTAGGTATCAAAGATAATGATTCTGTAACGTCGGGGATAGATGATTTCAATTTCAATCGGGAGGAAAGCGCTATTGCATCCGATGTCGATATCATACATACCGCTGTAGCTATCAGCAACAAAGCTGCAGGTAATTTTATAAATCATGATGCATACGGATACATGACTTATACAAAGAGCTTTAGGTTATTTAAATTAAATAGTTGTGTATCTTACAGCAAGAGGAGTAATGGACATAATCTATTAGTAACGTCATTTTAATACTATATGTGATAACTTTTTTAATAGCGCATGAGAATGAAATTATTCTAATTACTATATTCCGAATATGAGCTCAAATTCAATATTACTATCGTGATAATACAGGAGGAGAATCTCCGCAGAATTTCGTTAAGCCACTTTTATCCAGCGCACGTAAAATAGCTGCTTGTAAAACTCGATCGCTATCACATAGTCGATTGGTGCCTTTACATCTTCGGCCAAGAATTGCCAATGAATACGAATTTAAAGAGACAAGATCCCAGTCAGCGACATTAAGTAGAAACTCAACAAAGACGAGCTTTGATAGCCCTGATAATTAATTTATTTTATATTATCACTGTAATACGTTCAAAGTTAATGACGTAAATAGCCTGAAATGCTGGCTTGCAATCTTTTTTAGTGAGTTTTGCAAGCTTATTTTAAAAGATGAATTGAGTATATGCTCGTATACGGTTCTATTACGCTCATAATAAGCCATCGTAGGATTTAGATGATCATAATAAGAAATCAGATAGTTCTTCAAGAACTCTTCTAAAAATTATTTTGTAACTTCTTTGTATGATCGTGATAACTATTTTAATTAATGCCTTCATGGTCAGTCATAAATATCTTGATAATTAAATTTACAGCTCTTTTCTGTGATTTGAAAGGTGTATGTCGTTTTTTAAAGAACACGAGATGATAGTTTTTACTTGTTTTTATTGTATAGCAGTCGATCTTGACTACTGATATTAAGTCTAATCTCCTATCTGAAATAAAAGCGATTATAATATTTATAAGAGGATATTGGTTAAATTGTTAGTAGTATCATTATTTTTATAACTTTATTGCTTCATCGCTCATAAGTGAGCTAAGTAGCGATTTAACTTTGCACCGCCGTTGATCTACAACGTGCAGCACCTGGTATTTCTACCCCATTTCGTGCGAATACTCCAATAAATCAGTTCATGTGAAAGGTTAGGTAAATTTAGTGAAATTAAATCTGCATGATTATGGGCTAATTAAACTCAATTTCCCCTTTTATTTGCTAAAACTCAATTTCTATGACCTTGCTATCGCCTCGACGTAACTGTAAGCTATCCTTAATTAATATAAGATTAAGCGAATTATCCGTCTATCTTTAATGCAATCCGATGTCGTGGAGCGATCTTGTTAGGCGCACCGGTACCATGGCATGTCCTTCCTAAACTATTTTTTTCCATCTAATATTTATGAAACACAGATTGATTTTAAGGGCCGACTACCGGGTATAGTACGACAACGTTCAGTGTAGGTAAATATGGTATAATAATCTTATAAACTACCGCATTCTTCAGAAACTGTTAGTTCCACTCTAGGCCAGATTCCCTATCTCGTTCTTCTTTTGCTTTTCCTCAATAGCTTTCTAGATAGACATGTAAAACTGTGCAATCTACCCAAGTACTTGAATCTCGATTTTTTTTCGTTCACTTTGTTGAAAGTGTTCAGCCATACAAGGAGGCAATAAGTTAAAAGCCAAATTAGATTTAGATAAATTCCCTCATCCTTTATAAACTAATTCCTGTCTAATGGCAGTCAAAACTACTTCCGATACGTTTACTTGCATAAAATTCGTTTTTGAATAAGATTGCAAGACTTATCCCTAGCTGGATGCTGATCGAGAGCCTGCCATTGCTTTTATGTATTCAATATTCGATGCGAGCAGGCCTGCATTGGATGGCACCCTTCTTCTAGCATGGACGACATGGATGGACGGAGCTGTGTGTACGATTGGCCAATGTGCAGTGACCGTGTCAGGTCAGCTAGGTGTAGACTGACTCGTACCAGTCACCAGCACTTTGTCTCTCTGCCAAAGAAAATGGACGACAAGGAATAAATTTATGTCCGAGAAAGCTGCAAGGATTTGGCAACTAAAATAGCGCTATAACTCTTTTCTGGCTAGTTCAGCTTATACGATATTCAAACTTGACTATTCGACTGTAGATAGAGCTAGTAAAGTCTTGTATGGTGGTACAGACTAGACGCATCAAAAGGATTGATTTCATCTTGTGTCGCTGGAAAATTGCATTTTTCATTGATTTCAAAGACGAGCGGACATCGTGCTAAAGTCTGCTGGATTGACCTAGTACAGGATAGGGGAAAAAGGGAAAAATTCAACTCTGAACCATTTCAACATCCCATTTTCACTTTATTTAAAGACAAATTAGACTGTAGATAGAGCTGGTAAAGTCTTGTATGGTGATACAGACTAGACGCATCAAAAGGATTGATTTCATCTTGTGTCACTGGAAAATTGCATTTTTCATTGATTTCAAAGACGAGCGGACATCGTGCTAAAGTCTGCTGGATTAACCTAGTACAGGATAGAGGAAAAATTCAACTCTGAATCATTTCAACATCCCATTTTCGCTTTATTTAAAGACAAATTAGACTGTAGATAGAGCTAGTAAAGTCTTGTATGGTCGTACAGACTAGACGCATCAAAAGGATTGATTTCATCTTGTGTCACTGAAAAATTGCATTTTTTATTGGTTTCAAAGACGAGTGGACATCGTGCTAAAGTCTGCTGGATTAACCTAGTACAGGATAGAGGAAAAAGGGAAAAATTCATATCTGAATCATTTCAACATCCCATTTTCACTTTATTTAAAAACAAACTAGACTGTAGATAGAGCTAGTAAAGTATCGTATGGTGGTACAGACTATACGGATTGATTTCATCTTGTGTCACTGGAATATTGCATTTTTCATTGATTTCAAAGACGAGCGAAACATCGTGCTAAAGTCTGCTGGATTGACCTAGTACAGGATAGAGGAAAAAGGGAAAAATTCAACTCTAAACCATTTCAACATCCCATTTTCACTTTATTTAAAGACAAATTAGAGACAATCTTGTTCCATTGCATTGATTTTATACTGGAGAAGAAAGGTTATCCTCCAAGATGGCAGTTGAAAGATCGAATTGGTTGTCAACGCTGGCCAAAATCCCACGCAGTATCACCGTTGAGCCAGTATTATTCTTGTTCATGTTCTGCCAATTTTCAGAATATGCTCTAGTCATGTTTTTAATACGACGTAAAGTTTGCTTAAATTATTTACCCTTAAGTATTTGCTCCAATTCCTCTATTCGATTGGATAATACCACTGAAAATAGTATTGAAAGTCAGACTTCAACGTATATTTTCTACTTGAATTTATCATTTATTATTCCATCAGTTTGTGCGTCTATCATTCTAGGCAATTTATCTGATAAACTTGGCCGTAAAGTGGTCATGATATTGCCATGTATTGGTGCTGGTATTAAAAATGTCATCTTTCTCATTAATGCTTATCTAATTGACAAGCCAGTGCCGTACATGTACATTGGATCAGCTATTTCAGGATTCTTTGGCAATTATCCAACGTTATTAATGGCTGTTTTTTCTTACATCTCTGATATTAGTCATGGTGACACGCGTAGTTCACGAATTGGTATTTTAGAATCCATGACATTTATAGGTGGATCAATGGCTAATTTTATTTCTGGTCGATGGCTAGATACGGCTGGGTTTTTACCTCCATTTTGGGCCAATGTAATCATTTATTTTTGCTTAATTTTATACATCATATTTGTCATAACCGAATCCTATCGTCCAACAGATCCTAACGACAATCAGCAAGTTGATACTCCAGATCAGAATCGCTGTTCCACATTTTTTTCAATGCGTAATTTTCAAGCCAGCTATAAAGTGATTATCAAACCTCGTGTTGGCCACTTACGGATTCATTTAATCTTGTTGGTCGCCATATTTTTCCTCAATGTCATCATTTTCAATGCTTTTAATAACATCATTTACGTTTACCTAAAACACCCACCGCTCTCGTTGACACCAACGAGTATTGGTGACATTGTAGCACTAAAACTATGTTTGAACGGAATAGCAGCAATTATAGTTATGCCAATTCTATCCAAAATTTTACATTTTAATGATACAAGCTTAATTATGATTGGTGTACTATCATCAACTGCTTCATGGTTGTACATTGGATTTATACGATCACCGTCAATTGTTTTCATCGGTAACTGCATTCACCAATAATGATGTGTAGTTTATAATCATAGACTGGAATCGTTTCCATTATTATTAGTATACAGTATCTAGCATAATTGATGTTAAATTAAAGAATTCAAATATATCTAGAGTGAAATAGATACATAACTTAATAATCAATGCATACTGGACACCAAATGCATTAGTCTATTAGCAGAGTTAACGTAAATGGATGTCGCTTATAGGCATTCTTATTCAATTATAATATATACAGCATATACCAGTATATATATATACTGTACTCATATTGCCAATCTTAAATTAAAAATATTTGCAACTTTTTTGGTGCTTGCTATTTTGATATTGATTTATCCTGTATAACTTTACTAGGCTCCATCATTGATGGATTAACTGGAATGGCGATACCTAGTTGCCGTGCTATGTTATCAAAGATTGTTAACCAGGACGAATTAGGTAAGCGCTGAGATACTCTTGTTTAGATATAATTGGCTTGCTATCGTGATGATGCGCACGAATCTTCTAAGTTTGATATAGTAATCACAAAATGTACTAGCTGCACAAAAATAAGAATAGCACAGTGACATTACAACATTTTACTTTAGTACATTGTCAAACCGCTGTAACTGGTAGAAAGGAAATATAGCTATTTGAATTCCTAATAGACAGCTATAGTTTAACAGAAGCGGTAGTTGCTACTAACTCTTGAGCTTGTATCTTGAATGGTTTTGTTCTCATGTGAATGATTTCTCTACTTTAGTGACAGAATCTGAAATTAGTTTTGTCGGCAAAGATCTGATTGATTGAAATTTTTCTGTTTAAGAGTGACTTAGCTATGCTTGAGTGATCAAACGCTTTTGCCAAACGGCGATATTGAAGATTTTCTTCTAATGTACTGATTTCGTATTATCTTATCCCAGGTAAAATGTTTGGCTTTATATCAGCTACAGAAGTTTTAACATCGCTCCTTGCTTCTGCTATTGCTAACGGTATATATTCAGCAACAGTTCGCACTGCAATCACAACTGTTTTCATAACTATGGCTTCCCTTACAATCATACCATTAGCATTAACATCAATAATACACGTTGATCGTCGTCGACAACGTTCTACTTCGTTTTACGTACATATTAATGACGATCATATAGCTGCTAATGGTGTAAATTCTTGAAGTGGCGAATTTTACTAATCAACAGAGAGTAGTACATTTGATATAGATTTTATTTGTAAATCCGCTACCATTTAATGCTTGTATCTGATTTATACACATAATTTCCATCCATGAATTGTTTAAAGCTCTCACTAACAATGAGTTCATTATGATTATTGATTTCCATTTTCATGCATAGATAATTGATTATGATTTATCAGAAGTGAAAGATGAGGAAAGTTTTTAAAAGTCCTGAGTTATTGCTTTAAGATATCATAAACAGTTTGAAATCTGTTTACTGTTAACAGATACCATAAAGTAACCCCAAAAACTGTTATTTAAAAATTTTATAAGATTTCCATCAATGTTATCCGCTTGTTCCTCTGTGTGAATAAAAATGTAACAAGTTACTTGTATGATTGTTGGATAGTAATTCTTATGCTAACTATTGTATAGTACTTACCTTCTTTATACATTTACATCGTCAAGTAACTATTCTTTATTGCCTAAACAAATGTCTAAAGGGCTATAACTTAATGCTATTCTCATAGTGACCATGCTAGCAACGTAGAATTTATTTAATATGCTGATATAAGCGAATGTATGCAAAAGAGATACGATTGAATTGGTAGTATTGCATTCTGATGATATATCACTTAAAATCGGTAACATAGTCATCAGACTAGAATTTTAACATGAAATAACACAATATAAATATTATGAGCTCTTAATCACTATGTAATTTGATAATAAAATATTTTCGTTTAATCTTTAGCTATCCATTAGTTTGTCATGCAAGAATTAATGTTCAAATGAACAGTGCATATTTGAAACACTGTACGCTGTATCGATCATTTGACACGACTATCGAAGTAGGTATTAATAAAGTCCATCCACTAACGCAAGAACTTAGATAGCAACAGCATTTTAATCAGCATTTAATATACACAGATGGTTATACCAATTTTTTTATGACGGTGTGGTAAACAGTTTTTGACCTAAAAGCTGAAGACGACAATTTCTCTGAGAAAAGATCATAAAGTGGATTTAGGGAAGGCAAAGCTCATTTGATCAATTTTAATTTTTAAATCAAGATGTGAATTTTTAGCGGAAGAGGTATTTTCTGTTTGTCTAGCTGGTATAGAGCAGTACTAATCGCTTTACACATATATAACATATATAAATCCACGTACAAATTTTTCATAATTCAATACAGCCATATCTGCAACTATAAAAGAAATTACTTAGTTACAGTGAAACTCAATCAGCCATAGCATCTAAGAAATACTATCGTCTGAGCTTAATAACTGCTTATATTTGGTTTAGTTTTATCATGCAAGCGAACCAAAGTTTACTAAAAATCAGCTGTACATTAAATCTATTATCTTTCTAAATAATTAAAGTTTAAGAAATTGGCAATGCAAATAGTAACTGAGAATAAACTGACACCATACAAATTAAAAATTTTTTGATAGAAATAGTATCAAATAAAACTATAACATGTAATTCATGAACATTTTATGCGTTTATCTATGCCAACAATTTTTCCATCCAATAAGAATTATGAGATGGCTAAAGATACTCGAGAGGACGTTTATAAATTCTAGTCACTGTAACGATAGATATTCCTATTTTAGTCAATTACATATAGACATATATAATTAATACCACGCTCTATTTATAGATGGTCTGGAGCATTTAACAGTATTGATTATTTTAAACAATATCTAATGATGATTACACAACAGTACAGTAGTTTACTTAGAGTCATTTAAATCGGAAATATCGCATTAATAAGTGTTGTGTATTCAGTGCTATGTTAGAGAGTTACTAAAATATTGAGATGTAGGCAAAATTTGCACCCTAATTTTGTTTTCATTCGTCAGGTTTGATGCTTTTATAACCAGAATAACCAGAATACACATAATGGTGAATCATAATGTCAGTAGTATTGCTCTATTTCATGGATTGCCAATTAGTTTTAGAATTATATGCAGCGGATAATCAAATGTGATTTAGATTACGATTACACAACCCATAAAGGAAACCATTTTGTCCTATCGTATATTAATTTCTTAACAACCAAACTAGCAGCAATCTTGAAGTTGCGACAATTACACGTATTAGAATAAAGTTCTTAAATGTGAATTTATAACTGCCATTGGTCGAAATGATAGATATTCGTATATTTTTTGCGTATAATATATTCACTGTCCAATAATAGTTGTGATATCCCTTCCATTTACTAGAACATTCGTGTCTTTACCAAAGATTCAATAGTAGTAATTCATTTATAATTATAATAATTAGCTCGAGAGTGTACAAACAGAAGCGAATTGCAAAAAATTTCGGCATATCTTTACCGTCGAGAACTCTTTCTATTTAACCATGATGCCCTTGAAAATATCTCTCCTTTTTCTGGCCAACCACAAAATCCACAAATATGCATACATATATAAACACTATTCATTTTGTGAAGTCCTCATGGAAAGATGAGGTTCTTGTATTGAAGAGAAAATAGTCACTTAAATTGCTTCAATAAACTGCCTATAGATTCTAGATATCTAAACTAATTTTTTAAACTATACTGCTATGATTTCGATCTCTTTCCTTATTACTTGTGACAAATAATTCTTTAGTAAGATATAACGTCTTAGCAGTAGATGTTTCTTGTGATGAATCGTTACTGACTAGAACTTCAATGCATTCGTCAGAATTTGCAGCACGAGCATAATCATTAGCGGTATAACCATGACTGTCTTGCAATGTAGTATCGATATTATTCTAGGATAGCAAAAAACAATCATTTTACTCTTGAGTAGTGTGATGTTATAAATTGTGCGCCAAGAGAAATTTAGGATTAAGTTGGCTAACTAATATCAAGGTAATTTCAATTTACTATATGCTAATGTTGAATTTCTTACCCATATCAGTAGTTGAGCCATCACCGGATTGGCGACAGCGCAGCTGAAGTGAAGAGCAGTCCTACTATCATTAAGCTTATATTTCTTATTAATATCGTCCGGTGTACAATAAGCCAGGACGCGAAGAAAGTGTTGTAAATCATTTTTAAGAACTGCCTTAATCAGCTGTGTCGAGAGACTAGTTTTGCTGTCCGGCAGTGGTGCCAAGAATAATTTCTGTTCATATTTTGCGCGGATAAATTTTTCCTTATCTTCTCTATTTAATGATTAAGTAAAATCTACGTTAGTATATAGATGCAAAATATCCTACAATACGCATAAAAGTATAAATATCCACTATATTTGCGCATTCTACCTAGAAGATTTTGAATCTATTTTGGTATGATTGTGAAAATTTGCTTCCCAGACTTTATTGGCCGTATGATTGCCAATGGCACTCATTACGGATAGATTAATAGCCCTGAAAAATATTGGAGTATTTAAAAAAATATTTCCAATTTAGATCATTTCTTTAGACTTATAAGACATCACTAAGCAACAATTTTATTGACTTACGGCCAAGAATCTAAAGTCAACGATCTAACTCTTGAAATATGAGCTCCTAAATTACGATGTAGACCTGAACATTCGATACACATTAAGGTTCCTAAATTTAAAGAAGCCCAATCTGGATCTGGAATCAAAGTGATAACGAAAAAAAGTCAAAATGATGTAACAGTTGTAGAAAATTAACTGTTATGGAAAGAAGCATCTATTACTTTCAGATCTACAATCGACACATTTGAAATTTCCATTAACTTTTCTCAATGTTCGAACTATCGCGATTTCGCTATTTACATCATCCAACTAAAAGTAAAATTTTTGAACATGTTATTCGCTATTGAATCCTTGAATGTATATATTTATCGAGATTAGTCGCACAGTAATCATACATATTTAACACTTATAATTTTCGTTATCGAAATCAATAGTTATACCGTGTTCTTGCGACTGGGAGCACTCTGTAAGGATTGCATAATTTGTTCCTGAATACCAGTAATCCATTCGTCTCTCTCCTTTGAAAAATATCCTTAAAGTTAGACTATAACACAAAAACTAAAAATTTCATTAAATAGCAACGTAAATCTAGCGAATAAGACGATGCCATACTAAATAAGATAGATAAATGCACCAGGGAATGGTCTATAGCAATAGGGCATAAAATTCATTGAAAGTTACGAATACCGTTAAGTTTTTCACTTCAAACTGCCATGATTGTTCATTAGAAGATACAATAGTAAAGGTATAGCCGTCATCGTCTGCAAAATTAACGCATCAAATACACTTACTCAGTAAGCAAAGCTAGAACTGTAAGGCAACGTTATAGTCCAATAAATTTAAACGCTAGAGCCTACCAAATCAGCTAAAGATGTTGCACGGTAATATCGGAAAACAACAAAGTGTTGTATACTAGCTAAGCTTAACATCTAAGTTTACAGTAGGAACTAAATAATATAAGCAATGCATGACTCTCCGTCAATTAAAATCTTAAATACCGTCAAAGGCTGCGAAACTATCAGCGTTCTTGATATTTGATTTGGATTTCTTTTTCCTAGTCATGACCGGCGTAGTAGATCCACTACTATAAACTAACGAATCTTCGCCGCCTAATAATTTACTGTTCGACATTATTAAAGCTCCAATTGCGGATTCACTGCTTGATTTTGATTCAATTTTTGTGTTACCAGAACCACTAGGCTCTACAGGCGGAGTAACAACATTAGTTATCAGTAAAACAAATCTAGAAAAAGTTGCTAATGCTTTAGTATCCTAGCGTAAGTGACTAAGTAACACATTAACTGACAAGCAATGACGATAGGCTCGTAGATATATAATCTATCAGATATAATCTTATTACGTCTACCTGCATGGTTGTGATTCTTGCTAATACTCGATCTACTTTGTGATTTGACTTTTACACATACATTTTGCAAGTAGATTGCTTTACCGTGGGTGTTATTTTGATAATCCTGATAGAATATTGGCAAATTAAAAATTAGTATGACTAATTTTAACCACAATGTTACTAATTTCTATGATCTTGCAAGTAAAAACACTATTGCTAATTACCTGGAAGCTGGGAAAATAAGTCAGTTGGCCTTGACCGAGTACGGCATATTTCTTTTTCTTTTTATCTAAGCTTCCACTACGTTTATACAAGTAGCCCTAGTAAATACAAGAATACTTTATATGAACACAAGCTGGAGCAGTTGATATTATTAATCTATTCCTAAAGTCCCATAAACCCAATTATAAATTTGATTCCAATTTGCGGTTAAGTAAATATATATATGCACTATATGCAATTAGTTGCAGTATATTTCTAACGAATGACGATATTTTCGGGTACTACAAAATTTCAGAAAAAATAGTTATCCAATACTTACTTCTTTTTCAGGGATAGTCCTACCACTACCAAATTCTCCTAATGGCTCTTTCCCACGCTAGAATTTAAACCAAAAATTCGAGTATTACAATTTATTGACTGTCGTAATCGGTTACTATAATTATTTAGCAAAAGTAGCAAACTATTTTGGATTTTATCCTCTAATGTGCACTAGTATGTATATTTAGTGTTATATAACCAAATGTATTGTATTTCACAAACGCAGTATCATCTTACCTTACTCCAACGCTTTTGCTTACTTTGTGACATGGATGGTG